GCCATTCTCGCTCGTCACAAATGATTCAGGAAGAAAAGGAATTTCAGAACAAAATGAAGGTAGCTAACCTACTTTTATGAGCGACGTAATTGATGACAATATTAAAAAAAAAGTTAAATTTAATAATGTTTGAAATAAATTAATAAATAAATAAAGTATTGAAATATGTACTTTATTAGAGATATTAATTAAAAGGTAAGAATAAAGAGTGATTTTGGTTGGACTCGGAGTAAGTTGAAAATGCTCTAAAACTATCAAACACATCAGCAGCCATCAGATAAGAAGAACACGAACCACAAATTTTCATCGAAGAACCATGCAAAATAGATACAAACTATCTTAAAAGAAGTGCAATTTTTTCATCCAAAAAAATGGGAATACTTATGTTACTCCTCGCCCCCGAGACGCAAAGAAAGGATGCCATGTAGCAAGTCACGTAGGCTTCTGGTCAACAAAAAAGTCAAATAAAGATCCACGAGGTCAAAACACGAAGAAGGCAAACTAGGCCGAAGTCCTCACACTGTGGCTAAAGTCCTTACACTACAAGGACGAAGTCCAGGTTGAGGCACTACCTCAAAGACGAAGTTGCCTAAGGAAACAAAAAAAAGAGCTGAGGCTCTCCACTTAGAGAACTCCTTTGAAGATTCCTCTGAGGCTTTCAATTCGTCCGAAGCTCGCAAGCTGATGCAAGGGACGGACCCAGCCTCGAAGTTGAGCCCGGGCGAACGTTGACCGGTCAACGTTAAAGTTTAGCAAGCAAAGATCCAAGCTTGTAATATTTTGCATCTTATATACCATGGTAGATGGTTTTGCAATGGCATAACATGCAGCATGAGTAGAAGGGGCACGATGATGCCTAGGAAATCCACCACCTATTTCCCTTAAACTATTTCGATGCACTTGATCAGCTAGCCCGTGAGGCCAATGCATGTGGCCTTGGGGATGTTTAACTTGACCATCCCTCTTATTCTCATCACCTTTGAGAGGGAGACAGAGAGTCCATGAGGAGAATTCCACTAGCAGCCACAGCAATAAAGAGGATCAGCTTGTTTTTCTTATTACCCATACCTGATACCACTTTCCTCGCCTTTTCTATCCAATGGCTTCCCACACAATTCTTTATTACCCAAGAATAATGATTGATTATTAAACCTAGAGCTTAGCATTATTGGAATTTCACCTTCCAAGTTATTGTTTGATACATTGAAATTCACCAAGCTGGAAAGTAATGTAAGATTGGCTAGAATCTGTCCAGACAAATTGTCTAACTTGAGTAAAAGAGAATTTAGTGANNACTTGAGTAAAAGAGAATTTAGTGACGAGCAATTTGATAGTTCATCGGGGATTCGACCAGTCAAATTGTTCAATCCCAAATCAAGAACATTCAAATGTGAAACATAAGAAAGGGAAACAAGAACTTGCCCACTCAAAGAATTTGAGCGATGGACTATAACTTCTAGAGCTGAACAATTCCCCAGCTCTGGAGGAACTGAGCCAGAAATGTGATTGTTTGACAATGAAAGAACAACTAGAGACTTCAGTCTTCAAGGCACCAAAAGTTGAAGGAATATGACGAGAAAACGAATTGAAAGAGATATTCAAATACTCCAACCCCATCAAGCTACTCAAACTTTCAGGAACTACACCCAAAAACATGTTTTCCTGCAATGCAATCACTTTCAGATTAGGCAAACCCTAAAGATCGGATGGCAACTCCCCTAATAGATTCTATTTACTCAAATCAAGAACCGTCAACTTAAACAGACCCCCAAAACTTGCTGGAATGGTACCCAAAAAATCGTTATTACTCAGATTCAAAACTGCAAGTTGCTTTAAATTCCCAATGCTCACTAGAATTGGTCCAGAAAACTTGTTTCCACTAAGATTCAATGAACTCAAGTTCCTCAAAAGCACCAGTTTATCAGGAAACACTCCAATTAAGTGATTGCCTCCTAAATTAAGACTCTCAAGCAATGTCAAATAACCAATACTCAAAGGAATAGAACTTGAGAAGTTATTTCCACCAAGTGATAGAAACTTCAAACTTTTTAACTCGCCAAAAAACCCAAAAAAATCCCCTGTGAATAAATTATCCCCAAGATCAAGAACTTGTAAATTACTNATAAATTATCCACAAGATCAAGAACTTGTAAATTACTACAATTCTTTATATCATCAGGAAGCAAATCTCTGAATGTATTGTTCGCCATGTTCAACTCCTCCAATCTCCACAAATTTTGAATCTCATTCAGAATAGAACCCGAAAATAAATTACCTGAAATATCAAGCTTTGTTAATGTAGAAACATTAGTCAAGAAGGGCGAAAATTTTCCAACAATTTGAATCTGCTGAAGTTCCAAAAATCTGCAAAACACTGAAGCACACATCAATCTCTGGCGAGCCAATGTCAGTAAAAACATTGAACCCTAAGCTCGCTGGAATCTCACTGGAAATCCGGCTGTATGACAAAAGGAGGAGAATGGATTAGGGCTAATAATGAATGAAATTTACTGATTTTGATTAGAGCAGCCACTTTCAAAACAGAATAAAAAAAAACGCAATGAAGAAGACGAACTAGGCATAGACGCTGCCGGCGGCGGTCGTTCCGGCTGTATGACAAAAGGAGGAGAATGGATTAGGGCTAATAATGAATGAAATTTACTGATTTTGATTAGAGCAACCACTTTCAAAACAGGCAAAAAAAAAAAAAAAACGCAATGAAGAAGACGAACTAGGCATAGACGCTGCCGGCGGCGTTCGTTCCGGCGGAGCCCAGCACGCGCGGTCGCCCCCCGTCGCCAGGTGTTGGGTTCGTCTCTGGCTGATGCTGTTCTTTGTAGATCTCTCTGAAGTTATTAATATGACACTTGTAATAAAAGTTTGTCAGTATGTAGGTCTATTGTATAAAACGGCTGACTCGTTATCAATATATTAATTGTATGAATAGATAATAATGTGACATCCCAATTAAGGAGATGAGGTCACGTGGTTCTGATCCAACGATCATCATGTCGACCAAGGTAGTCTAAATATGTTCTATTTGTAACTTAAAAAAGGGGTTGGATTATTGATTGAATAACAAGCAATAAAATACATTCGAAACGCATATTTGAACTTGGAAGAAAAATATACAAACACTTAGGTTTATTTTCTATCTCTTTGGTATGCTTATGAGTCGTAGATTTCTATACATGATGTAGCAATTTCAATACATATCATATATATCCTTCTACATATTCCCGTTTGCGATCATATAAATTAGTTCGATTTCAACCGGGCGATCGTTGTTGGTGCTATTGCTTTTGTTCCATCCGTCGGAGCTTGAACATCTTTGTCTCTCACCGTAAGTACCTCCCACGTCCATCTCCTTTATGCTACCGTCGTCATTCCGGTAGGAACGTGCCAAAATTGTACTTGATTTGACGCAAATGATCCCAATGTCTGTTAGCTTATTTTCAGGGGTCAGCAACTTCAAATCAAATCTCATAATTTAGCTCCTTTCTCAACATCCCATAATACTCATTGCGACATTTGGGTTCCTTTTCATATGCTTTCTTTTAATGGTTACAGATTCTTCCTCACAATAGTTGATGATTATTCTAGATGCACTTGGGCTTTCATGATGCAATCTAAGTCTGAAACTCGTAGTCACATAAAGAACTTCTATCAAATGGTCATTACACACTTTAACACCAAAATAAAGACCTTTAGAACCGACAATGGTGCTGAATTTCTGATTTCAGAATTCTATACTACTAATGGAATCCTTCATCAGAAAAGTTGTCTTGAATCACCACCACAAAATGGAATTATGGAGAGAAAACATCAATACATCCTACAAGTAGCTAGGGCCCTTTTTTTTCCAGTCGAATGTCCCTCTCATCTTCTGGAGTGACTGCATACTAATAGCAGTTCACATCATTAACTAAATCTCATCACCAATTCTTAACAACAAAACTCCTTATGAGCTACGCTTCCAAAAGCAACCTGACTATGATCATCTCAAAACATTCGGTTGCCTATGTTTCACCAGTACACTCAGCAATCATTGAACTAAGTTCTCTCCTCGTGCCTCCAGGTGTGTATTCCTTGGTTATCCCCATGGATACAAAGGATGTAAAGTATATGATCTAGAAAATCACAGAACTTTTGTTAATAGAAATGTTGTCTTTCATGAATCTTCTTTTCCTTACAAAAATTTCCCACCTCAATATGCAACAGAAACTCATATATTTTCTATTTCTGAAGCACACTTTGATTATTCCTATCTGCATTCACCAGCAATAAACCAATTACAGACAACGGCAACAACAGGACCCAAGTTGACAATGATTGATCATGCCTCCCTTATTTCCTTGCCAGAAGACAGCTTACCTCATACTCAACCCCCTCCTAGAAAATCAAGCAGAGCAAAGCATCAACCCTCATATCTGGATGATTATTTTCTATTTCTGAAGCACACTTTGACTATTCCTATCCGCATTCACCAGCAATAAACCAATTAGCAGACAACAACAACAATATGACCCAAGTTGACACTAATCCAATGCCTGATCATGCCTCCTATATTTCCTCACTAGAAAATAGCTTACCTCATACTCAACCCCCTCCAGAAAATCAAGCAGAGCAAAGCATCAACCCTCATATCTGGATGATTATCACTGTGATTTACCATCTTCTTCCACTGCAATACAGTCATCCATAATGATGGCTAGTCCATCTACTTCAGGTAAACCTTTCTCCCTTTCTCACTTTATCTCTACTGATAGACTTCCCCCAAACACAAGGCCTTTGCTACCTCTGTTTCAAATGTTTTTGAACCAAAGTTTTATGGCCAAGCTATCAAATTTCCACATTGGCAGGCTATCATGAATTGTGAAATCCAGGCTCTTAAAAAGAATAATACTTGGACCCTCACTCATCTGCCACCTAAAAAACACACCATTGGTTGCAAGTGGATTTACAAAGTTAAATTCAAAGCAGATGGTACTGTGGAAAGATACAAGGTACGACTAGTTTCCAAATGATATACTCAACAAGAGGGCCTAGATTTTTTTGATACATTCTCAACTGTTGCAAAATTGACTTCAGTTCGAGTCCTTTTGGCTGTTGCAGTAG